GGGGGGAGGGGGTGAAGGATTACCTAAGAAGACAAGAGACAGCCTGAGGCAAGGCAGACTCGCTTGATCTGTCTGGTCTGGCCGATAAGCCTTTTTGCGATCTCCCGGAACCAGAGTCGATGACCCCCAAGGGTGTGTTTCAGGATTGCAGATTGCCCTTGAAGGGTGATATGAGGTCAGAACTGAAGAGAGAAAAGGCCCAGTTCGTTCGTCCGTTCGCTTGTCATGCCACCTGAAGGTCAGGCACCTGCAGGATCAGCCCCCGAGATTGCTGATGATCACCACGTTTTTGTTCTCATCCTACGTCAATAACCATATTTTCAAAGAAAAGTTCCTTGTGAAACTGAATCCCCGTTTAGATCCTTCGAGGCAGGTACACATGTACTGTATATACAGTGTCAAAATCCTTCCCTCCTCCGGATCCAGCCGTACCTGAAGTAGGTCAACAATGGAACAGGATCATTTTGCAGTCGGCTAAGGGCTCCCAACTGTAAATCCTCCAGGAGCCTCCTTAGACAGTCCCATCTTTTTGTGGACTTCCATGGACTACTGTCGTCTGGAACAACATGGCGATGCTAAGAAAGTTAACAGACGACAAGGCCACGGGCATGGCGGATACCGGGGCAGTTTCTGGCTCCGGCGGTACGAGGACCCCCGCCGCTGCCGGAGCCCACTGCCCTGCCGAGCCTCCGATCCATTTTCCTATTTTCCTTATTCTCCAGGCCCCAGTAGCTACTAATTAGTAGCTAGTAACCAACTGAGCAACTCAAGTCCACCACTGCAGGTCCACGGTCCACGGTCCACGGTCCACGGTCCACGATGCTCGAGAAGTGTTCCTGATTAGGCAGCAGTTGGGAACCTCGTCATCGTCCACTATCCATGCATCCATGCATCCATTCATTCCATTCACATGTGGTTCACGGTCACGTTCACCAGACTCGACTCGGAATTATATCGAGATGCCTTGAGTAGTAAGTTGTAAGTTGGTCCAACGATGGCTTGCAGGTTGCACGTGTGCAAGGGAGTTCCAGTTGTCTTACAGTCTCACTGTTTCAGTGTCTGCAGCGATTGGCCAGTCAATGTGCTCGCTAGGACTTCTGCAAAAGGAATGACTCGCGAAGGGGGGTTAGACTGATAGTGTTGGTGTTAGTGAACAAAGTGAGGTGTTGCCCGCGGCGTTATTACACCACAACGTTCCGGGCCGGGTTCAGCCTGGGACTAGGGCCGTGAGCAACCAATCTATTGTCTGGTTGAGTGTACTACGTATTAGTTAACAGAAAGGCACATGACACTGCCATGACCGCCCATGACAGGGCCTCG